GCAATGAGGGAACCCGGTTCTCTACTATAAATAGAAAGAAACTAATTGGCCAACTGAATATATATAAAAAATTAGCCGGGCATGGTGGCGCATGCCTGTATCCAGCTACTCGGGAGGCTAGGCAGGAGGATCACTTGAGCCCAGGATTTGAGGTTGCTGTGAGCTAGGCTGATGCCACGGCACTCACTCTACCTGGGCAAAACGAGACTCTGTCTGCAAAAAAAAAAATTAAAAAAATTAAAAAAAAAATAAAAATAGAAGAAATTACTTGGACAGCTAAAAAATATATGGAAAAAAAATTAGTGTTTGTTGTTGGCATCATGTTGTTGTCTGTTACTGGTCAGGCTGGTTTTGAACTCCTGACCTCGAGCAATCCGCCCGCCTCGGCCTCCCAGAGAGCTAGGATTACAGGCGTGAGCCACCGCGCCCGGCCTTCTTTCTATTTTTAGTAGAGATGGGATTTCACTCTTGCTCAGCCAGGTCTCCAATTCCTGAGCTCAAATGATCCACCTGCCTCAGCCTCCCAGAGTGCTAGGATTACAGGCGTGAGCCACGGTGCCTGGCAATATTTAGAATTTTAAAATGTATTTTATATCAATTTATTTTTACGCTGAAAGTTATATCAGAAAATTAAGATCTTTCTCTTAAGAAGAGTTAACATTTTGCAATACCCATCACGAAATCTCTCCATCAGAAGGAATGGGTATTTTGTTTCAATACGGTTGCGGAGCTAGGAAGAGAATGATTACAATAGGACAAATGCTCAGGGTTTGAAACTCAAGGCATTCAGACAAGGTTTTAGTACATATTTCCCATCTTCAGAACCCACTGAAAAATTTCATTAGGTGGCATACAAATGAGGGTGTGTGTAAGCATTAAGAACTACCCACTAAATCTAAATCATTTCTGTTAATAGGCCAACAGTAAGAAGGGGGAGGCGTCTCATTAGCCAGGGCCGAACGGACCGAGTGACGGTCTGCGCGTCAGCACCGCGGCTGTTCCTAGCAGGTCTTTCCGGTGTCGCGGCAGCGCACCTTTGCGACGCGCAAGAACAGCGCTCATGCATGAGGACAGGGCCCAGCCAGTTGTCTTATTATTTAAAAACCGTCAATAAAAGAGGTCTTTGTTCTTAAGAGACGATTAAAGAAAAAAAAGCTGTTCTTTTGCCATTTGCGAGGGCATTCGAACGAAGGGGTTTTGGGGCCTGCGGGACGGCGTGTGCCCGGAGGCCCAGGGCGCGGCGGGCAGAGCGCGGCGGCTCCGGTTCTGCTTTTCCTGTGCGGGCAGCAGGCTTCACGCACCTCGTTCACCAGTCGAGGCTGTTTCCGTGGCTGGAGGACAGGCTGCGCCCGGGCGGCTGTGAGGCTGGACGGGAGGATGCGTCTCTGGCCAGCAAGCGGCTACGCAGCGGCCGCGGTCCCCGACGCCCGCGGGCAGGCGGGCTGCGAGCGAGCGGGGCTCCTGCGGCGCGCGGCCTTCTCGGCGGCTTCCCGGGGCCTGGCTCCCACTAGGAAGCCTGGCCCACAGCTTCTTTTCTCTCTGCCTCTCGGAAGTCCCCAGGGTCCCTCCGCTCCGTCCCGGGGCTGGACCGCAGAGCGACAGAGGCGACACAGGAGAGTGCATGGCCCGGTCGCGTGACCCGCGAAGCAGGCGTGCGAGTCCTGTGCGATGTCATGTCGGCGCGTGTTCCCCCGCCCTCCCTTTGGCTAAAAGTCTGATAAAATAATGAGGGGAAGAGAACACCAACAGGGGACACTTCCAGGAAAGTAAGAGACTGAGATGGCTGTCCCCTCCTTTCTTCCTCCAGGAAAATCCCCTCCGACGGAGCCGCGCGGGCCACTGGAGGCGCGGGGCGACAGGAAACACGCTCCCCGGAGCGACGCGGGCGGGCCGGGGGCGCGGGGAGGGGCGCGGGAGGGGCGCAGCGCGGGGAGGGGCGGGGAGGGGGCAGGGCCGCGGGGAGGGGCGCGCGCGGGAGGGGGCGCGGGGAGGGGGCGCGGCGCGGAGGGCGCGCGGGAGGGGCGCGGCGCCGGGAAGGGGGGCGCGGCCTTGGGGAGGGCGCGGGGAGGGGGCGCGGCCGCGGGAGGCGGGCGCAGGGAGGACAAAACGCGGCCGCGGGAGGGGTGCGGGGAGGAGGCGCGGCCTTCCGCCCCACGGGACCGGCGAGCGGCGGGAGCCGCCCGGTTCGGCAGCACTCCGCCCTTGCGCGGCGCGAGGCGCAGCCCTGGCTTGCCGGGCGTCTTCTCCGGCCTTCCTCGCCGCCCTGCCCGGTCCTCCGGCCCTCCAGGCGCCGCCCCAGCTGGCACACTGCGAAGTCCCGCTGCGTCCCCTGCTGGCTAAGGACAACCAGTTTTTGAGCTCGATGCCACCCTAAATCTTATTAGAAGCTTCGAAGAGAAAAATCTCTCGCCAGAGATGTTCCTAGAGTGACACCTCACGCAGGAATCGAAGCCTCGCAGGCGGACAAAGGAGCGCTCCCGCTCCCTTCCGTTACGTGTAGGTTTCGTTTCTCGTGACCTCATTTTAAAATCTTATTGTTTTAATTCTTAATTTAACAATATCTTGCAAAGGTGCATTAGTAATTTTAAGCTGCTTAAAATCTTTCGGATGAGAGAAACAAAAATAAAGAAGGCGAACTTCACGCCCTCCGCCCGCCTGTAACGACTGGCGGCCTCAACGCAGGGCGTTCCAGGCCCGCGCCCGGGCGACGTCTCAACGCGCGGGTAGCACCGCCGCTCGCGGCCTGCGCGGGAGTGCCGCGCGTGTTGCGAACGCGAGGGCGGCGCCCGCAGCGCCCCGCGAGTCCCGCCCGCTGCGCGCCCATGCACCGCCTCTTCGACTGTCCCTGGCCACCCCGTGGCGCACTGCCCTGGCCCCTGCTGCCCTGCCCTGCCTGGCCCCGTGCCCCCTGCCCTGCCCTTGCCCCTGCCGGCCCTTGCCCCTGCCCCTGCCCTGCCCCTGCCCCTGCCCTTGCCCTGCCCCTGCCAGCCCCTGCCCGGCCCCGCCCCGGTCCCGGCCCCTGCCCCTGCCCCCTGCCCCTGCCCCTGCCCTCCCCTGCCCTGCCGGCCGGCCCCTGCCCCGCCCCGCCTCCGCCCTGCCCCTGCCCAGAGGCCTAGCCCTGCCCTGCCTGCCCATGCCCCGCCGGCCCTGCCTGGCCCCTGCCCCATGCTGGCCCCTGCCTGGCCCTGCCCTGCCCCTGCCCCTTGCCCCTGCCCTGCCCTGCCCCGGCCCTGCCCTGCCCCTGCCCGCCCGCCCTGCCCTGCCCCCTGCCCCGGCCCCTGCCCCGGCCCCTGCCCCGGCCTGCCGCCCCTGCCTGGCCCCATGCCCCGCCCCTGCCACCGGCCCCTGCCCCTCCCTGCCTGGCCCACGGCTAGCCGGCCCCTGCCCGCCCGCCCTGCTGGCCCTGCCCCTGGCCCCTGCCCCTGCCCCTGCCACTGCCTGGCCCCTGCCCCTGCCCCTGCCCACTCCCGGCCCCTCCCCTGCCCCTGCCCCTGCCCCTGCCCTGCCCCTGCCCTGCCCCTGCCCCTGCCCTGCCCCTGCCCTGCCCGGCCCCTGCCCCTGCCCCGCCCCGGCCCCTGCCCCTGCCCTGCCCCTGCCCGCCCCTGCCCCTGCCCTATCCCCGGCCCCGCCCTGCCCTGCCCCTGCCCTGCCTCCCCCGCCCCTGCCCCGGCCCCTGCCCCTGCCCCTTCCTGGCCCCTGCCTGGCCCCTGCCCCGGCCCCTGCCACGGCCCCTGGCCCCTGGCCCCTTGCCCCTGCCTGGCCCCTGCCTAGCCCCGGCCCCTGCCCCTGCCCCTGCCCCTGCCCCTGCCCCTGCCCCTGCCCCTGCCCCTGCCCCTGCCCGGGCCGGGCCTCTGTGGCGTCTGCCTCTGCCCAGCGCGCCTTCCGCTCCCCCCAGGCACTCTCCCTAGCGGAGTTTGAAACAAAGCTGATGCCCAGGCCCCAACCCGGACCAGTTAAGCTAGAATCTTTGCATTCAGAGCCCAGGCACTGATATTTTTTAAAAGCTTCTCAGACTCATTTCCTGCCAAGACAGAGACACGGCTTTAGGTCTGGGCTGAAGCGTCAGCTGCCCCAAGAGGCCCTCCTTGAACACCTCCAGGAGGGAGCTGTTGTCTTGCCACTCAGCTCCGCTTCTTCCTTGGTTCCTTGGTATAGTTATCATAATTTGGAATTATTGCATTTATTTGAATGTTTTTATTTGTCTTCCCCCAGGCCCCTTGTAAGGACAGGGAATGTGTCTGTTTTGGTCTTTGTGCTTTTCTTCGGTGCAGTGTCAGGCGCGTAATAGATTCTGAGTCCGAGTGCGTGGCCGCCTCTGCCCCAGCCCTGAGCACTGCGTCTGCTTGTTGACTTGAATGGAGCTGGCTGGATCCTTACCGCAGGTGGGCACTCGGACGGAGGTATCACCCTGAGCAGTAGCATTCACAATTATTTGGGGATTTGGGGCACAGGGGTTGTGAACACATTGTGAAAGTTCAATTTGTTGGGTTAGGCCATTTAGCCATAATCTAAATAGTTGCAGATGGTTTCTACACCTGGGTTGCACGGAAGGACAAAACAAGTAAATTTGTGTCTTTAAACAAATAATGAAACTCTGAGGAGTCTGAAAACAACTCCTGGTGAAGTCCCTTGCGTGCAGGTGGCCTCCGCATGGCCGGCCGCCTGCGGGCTAGCTAGGGCTGAGTCTGCTCTTTCCAAATTATTAGTTGGTAGTTCTCAAATAAAACAAAGCAAACCAAACAACCTGCCTGCTGTTTCCCCCCATAGTTAGTATGTTCACCAAGCTGACCAATAACTTCTAAGGTGCTTTTCCCTAGGTTTAAATTAACCAAGACCAGTATGTGGAGTGACTTTTTTTTTTTTTTTTTTTGCTTTATTTCACTTCCTTAAGGAATCATCTTGGTTTCTTGGTTTTTCACTCTTCCTTTCCTGAGTTTTATGGGGCGATCTGCTGGAGGAAAACAGGGTGGAGGAGAGGGAGGAGAGAGGAGAATGGGCAGAGGATGGGAAAGGGCGTAAATGAAACACGAACCCAGCCATGCAGCAAAAGCCTTATTCTGCCTCTTATCTGGGGAAGTGCCATATTCTCATGGAGAGAAATGCACGTGCACACGCACACCCCTAAACCCACACAGATGGAACCTCCTCCGCGGAGAAGCCAGATACAGGAAACTGACTTGTGCACAGGAACTTGCTAATCTCTTTTGTCACGTCCCAGTTGCACCTGCCTCTGCAGTCACCACGCACACGGAGCCAGGCCGTCTTGCGTTGGGTGCTCGGCCGGCCCAACTCTTACATTTTTAGTTCATCGGATATGAGTCAGTTATATCCATGGGGAAGAAGGAGAGGTTGATCCTGGAAGGAAATCACCGCAGCGAAAAGGCTTGGGCCACTCTTGTTTTTTACCTGTGCTGAACAAACTTGACTTCCGGAGTCAGTAATTTTGGTGCCAAGAAATTTCTTCGGCATTCTACAACTGGTAAGACTTTTGCTTCTTTAAAAATATTTATTCAGTGTCAAAAGGAATTTTTCTAGTTTCACATAGCTCTTGCTCTAGGCTAAATGTGGTACTCGCCCTGTTTTGCCTGTTGTAAAGTATGGAACCAATTTACAGGGGAAGGGGGCTGCTCTGAGAGCCCTACACCCCCCCCCAAAGTCCTAACAAGATGCATATAGTGTTTGAAACATTAAAAGTTAGAATAGTTGGCTTTTTGTTTTTTCCAGATATTCTCCTAGAGAATGCCCATGCTTGTGATTGACTACGACTGAGCTCAGCTATGTGGGTGGTTTAAATATCATCCAAGGTTTGATGAAGTCAATCTAAAGATCCTCTAAGTTATGTAAACATGAATTTTAAAATTTTCTAGTTCAGAAAAGAAACAGAATCAAAATATGGAGATTTGGATCTGGAATTCCTAGATTGTTTGTTTCACCTATTGCCAAGGCTAATGTCTATCTTCTAAAAGTGGTATATGATGTATAAGTATGTATTTTTAAATTAAATTAAATTTTGTTTTCTGAAGTGGTTTGATTAGGAGACATGCTATGAGGTACCAGTGAGTAGCCTGAGTTGTAGCTAAATGAAGTTTGTGAAACCACCAGGTTTAGGTGCTTTACTATAAAGTAAAGCTGCCATTGAAGTATTTGAGCAAATCACAAGTAGTTAATAGTCACTTATTGATTCTAGGCTGGTGCTGTGGGGGATATAAGAGAAATATGAAGAAATGTGTACTTTGGAGGACTTTATAATCTAGTAGTTGTGGTAAAAAGTAAAATTTAGGAAGCCGTGCAAGATGGGAATTATGTGATGGACGGGTGGCATGGGCTTTGAGAGTTATAGAAGTTCCAGGAAGGGGTTGGGAGTGGACTGGAGTAGTCAGGAGAGATGGGCTTTGGAAGGGTTTCAGACTGGGAGGACTATGTAGGCGAAGACATCAAGATGAGGTTGATTTGGAGGTGACGAGCCCAGTTGAAGAGATGGCTGGAGAAGACAAGAAAGTGTATTTTACACATTGCAGGAAATAAGAAAGGAAGGGGTGCGGGCAGATTAGGGAGGACCTTGCCCTGCCATGGAGGAGAAGACCCTCCATTTGGTAGTTTCTAGTTGTCTTCCGCCCCTGGGCTCCTCCTTACCCACTCTCGCCGGCCTGCGTGATTCCATCTGGATGGAAGCCTGGCGAGCTTTGCCTCCTCGTGCTTGGGCTGCTTTTTGCTTCCCTGCGTCCATCTGTGGTCCTTTATTTGCCCTCTACTGTCTTCCCTCAGTCCATCATTTATGCAGAGGAAGGTCTGTGTGGCGTGCTGTGCCTGTAAGACTGCCACTTCTGGTTTCTACATTTTTGCGAGGCCCTTCAATCATCTGGTAATTAAAGTGGCCTTTGCCTTGGCAGAACAAATTGGTTGATGGTCTGTAAGCAGGACTCTATTCCTCAAAAGCCAGTCCAAAAATTCCATGAGATATGTGTTGCTTGCTGTGCATGTTTAATTGGGTTGATGTGGATTTGCTGCTGCTCTTGTCCAGACATTTTGTTAGTGAGTCAGGAGATCATAATGATTCAAAACATTTTTTCTGGACCATAAAATATCTGAATTCATATAATAACAAATATATAGTCTGGTGAATAAGAACCCAGACTTTGGAGCCAGGTTGCCTTGGGTTGAATCCCGGTTGTATCATTCCTGGGCTGTCGGAACCTCAGACAAATTACTTCTTCAATGCTCAGATTAAAAAAAAAAATCTATAAAATAACTCTAATGACAGTATTAATAACTGAAAATACCTACGTCAGAGGGTTGTTGTAGAGATAACATGAGATAAAAATACGTAAAGCATTTACCCTAGTGCTTGGCATCAAACAAACTCTCAATAGATGCAGCTATTATGATTCTTATTAAGAACTTGGCTATGGATGCAAACAAAGATGATATGATTCCTGGCTTGGGAGCAAGAGATCTGAAAACTAACGTTTTGAATGTTAATATTTCTTTCAAGGAAAATTGGGGATGACAGATGGAGGCTGGGAATCAAAGGTTTTTGAGCACTGAGTATAGACTAGGCACAGGGGTTGGGTGTTTTATAGTGATAATGCATAGGAAAAAGGAAAAAAGATTAGAAACTGACTTTCCAGCCTTTCCGTACCAGTTTCTCAGGCTTATAAGAGGACTCCTCTGAGGATCTACTGCAGGGTCTGTGGGTGGCTGTGGTGGACACTTCTCTCTGAATGCTTTGGGTGAAAACACAGAGGTGCTTGGAAGTAGAGACAGAGAGAATGACCTCTCTTTCTTGGACAGTAAAATTATTTAATTTTATGATGTTTTAATTTTAGCATTAGCAAGGCACAACTAAAAGTCCATTTCTATTCGGGAGTTGGGACCATTTGACAATGAGTGCTCTGAGTGCTTATTTGGGTTCTTGATGCTTGGATCTGGATGAAAGAAAGCCAAGATTAAAAAGCATCTTGCTTCCCCATTTCACTTTCTAGATTCTAGAGTCTTGAGATTCTTTTGGATTAGAAATCTCCGTTTTAAAAATGCAAATACAGCTAGTATGTTAATTGTGTAGAGGATTCTCAGTTATGTGTGCAGATTACTTTAGTCAAATGTTTTCCTTCTAGAGCCCCGCTGAGACCGAAAGGAAGGAAGCCTTTCCAAACCAGTTTGGGGGCGTCATGGATGGCAAAGGATGGGCGCTGGCCAGGGTGGGGTGCCCAGGTGGGGGCTGGCGGGCAGTGGGAGCGGGGAGGCGTCCGAGTGTGAGCGGACCAGCGGACGAGCGGAAGGACGGGGGGACGGGGGCGGACACGGGCACGCATGCGCCCTCTGGCTCTGCGGCAGCGCCTGCGCGCCCTGCGCCGCCTCAGCCGCTGGCGCGGAAGTCGTCGAGCTGCTGAGCTGCTCCCCGGAAGGAGCCGCTTGTTCGAGCCGAGGTTGATGTGTCCGGTTCTGGCCTGGAACAGTGGATCTTAAGCTGGCTGGACATCAGAACCACTTGGGAAGCTTTTAGGGAGTAGGAATTCTCACGTATCGTAGCCCAGCCCTGGAGTGGGGTCCAGGAATCTGTGTGATAAAAAAAATACAAGCCCTAAAACAACTAAGAAACAGTCATTTTACAGTGGGGATTTGGGAGCCATTAATCCAGAACTCTCCTACTAGGGCCCCCAAAACCAAGATGGTAAGTTGAATATGTGCTGAAGGAAGCAAATCGATTTCCTTTCTATTGTGATTATTATCTTCACACGGAAAGTGTTTTCCTTTGTTTCAAATTTATTCCTAGGGATGATTTCCTGGTGGTGGATGACTGCGTCAAGGGCGTGAGCATATTTAGCGCTATCATATCTATTAATACATTTTAGCATGCACTACTTTTCAAAAAACACTGAAGTGTTACGGACATGCATGAGCTATGTATCACTACTCAGGGTGAGCCCAAAGCAAGGAATTTGCTTTTAAGGGACAAAGTGCCAAATTACTTTCCCATCTCTCTTTTCCGGTAAAATAGAATACTAATGAATTACGTTTGGGAGAAATTTCCAGAGCGTTACTGAATGCTCATTTGCTTCTTAGAGCATGAGTTAGAGCTTTCTTATCTCTCTGCTCAGTTTCTTGTAAAACTGAAGTCAGCAGTGATCTCTTCCCCATTTCTTAGAAAAGACAATCAAGGAAGAGAGTGGTTGAGTAACAGGCGATATGGTTCCCATCACATTTGCCGTGAGAACTACACATGGTCATCTTTTCAGTTCATCATTAGAGCAAATAAATGATTGAGTAGTTTGCATACATGACCTGATGGAAAAACCCACTGTAAAGTGGGAGTACAAACATGCACCACCATACCTGGCTAATTTTTAAATTTTTTTGTAGAGACTGGGTCTCTCTGTGTTGTCCAGGCTTGTCTAAAACTCCTAGTCTTAAGCCATCCTCTTGCCTCAACCTCCACTGCAAGGTGTGAGCCACTGGGCCTGGCCTTATCAATATTTAAGAGGAAGGCTGTGGGTTTTGTGGACCAGATGTACCTTGCTTTTAACATGTAGATGTTACCGTAAATCCCTGGGCAAAGTATTGTAAAGGGAGTTTGGATTCAAGAAGTCTGGATCTGGAGTTGTGGATACTAAGGGGGTTTGTTTAGAGCAGCTCAGGAAGTGAGTAGCTGGGTACTGAGGACATGCTAGAGTAGACTGCAGGAACTCAGAAATAAGCCTAGGGAGAAGCTACCATCAAAGGGGTGTGTGTGTGTGTGTGTGTTAGAGAGAGAAGAGACGGGAAGGGAAGGGGAGGGAAGGGAAGATTTCTTAAGAAGTAACAAGGAGAAGCTGATCTCAAAGGTGAACAAGATGGATGTGAAAATAGCTCCATTTTGACCCCCCCCAAAATAGAAGCTCAAATCAGAGAAGAAATGATTCTTCTAAATCATTGCTTCTCAAATTGTAGTGTGGTTAAGAATCACCGGGACGGGTGGAGGACATGTTAGTTAACGCACATACCAGGCTCACCTCCATGTGTTCTGATATGGCCGGTCTGGAGGTTGCAGGAACATGCATTTGTAACACGTGCTCCCACCCTATGAAGACTCTGATGAAAATGGTCTGCAGATTATACTTTGAGAAACACTAACAGATTAAAGGTTATATTTTGGTTTGGTGCCGGGAATGTATCTCTGCGTGTGTGTGTTGTGGTTGAGGCTGCTACCTGGAGGCTCAGAAGCTAAGGCTGTGCCCTTTAAAAGGGGAGTGACAACAGAGAAAGCCCAGAGAGACAGGTCATTCATTTGGCAGAGAAAAAACTGAGAACAGAAGGCTGTATTTATGGCACTCTTTACAGGAGCATAGTTTGTACCACCAATTCCCTTCCATGAACTGTCAGACAGCATTTGTCCAGCATTTGTATTTTTTTATTTTTTTTTTACATTCCATGGATGGTGAGACCTGTCCAGCATTTGAACCAACTGAAAGTAGCCGTGCACAGGGCTAGTACGGCGTAGAGAAAGATGGCCCGGGGAGTCTGGAATCCATGAACATTCTGCTCAAACCACTGGGAAATGGCATTAAACCTGCAGTGGGGTGTGGGTGCGGTGTGCAGGAAACACTTTGGGCCTTAGTGTGTGATGACATTACATTAAAAAAGTATAATTTTTGATAAAATGTAGTATTTTAATGTATAGCACTTGAAATGGTAAGAACAATTAGACATATGCCATAGCAAGACTGTATCACAGAATAAACATATCGCAAATGAGTGGCACTGTCGCAGCGGGAGCCACGGCCCTGAGCTTATCTGTCCATCTGGCTTTAGAGCTTCAGTGACTGTAAGGAGCTCCTAAACGGCCTTCAGCGCCTTGTGTTCTTCTCACGCTGAAGGTGATTCTTTTACTTTAAGCAGTTCCCATCACCAGGGCCTCTAGTCCTGGGACGTGGCGGGATAAAGTGAGGACAAGCTAACGGCTGGTCTCGGCACTGGGGCCCAGCTTGGGGTCTGCTGGGCGTCACGGTCCGACACCTGGCGCCAGACCGCCTCCCCCGGCACCTGTTGGCGGTCCTCTTCCCCACGGCACAGGGTTTGCATGGCCCTGATTGGCTTATGCTTTGTTTCTTAATCTTTTTTTTTTTTTGTCACAAATTCCTTTGAAAATCTGATAAGAACCAAAGACTTTATCTTCATACAGGAGCGTATACATTTGCCACACAGTCTCAGGGGGTTTAGGGACCCTTTGCAGCCCGTCCACGGACGCCCGGGGACCAGAGGGCTCGTCTTACCGAGTGTGGCCTCGGAGCAGAGGAGCGCTGCAGAGGCTGTGAGAGCAAGTTCTGGTTGTGGCTGGTGTCGGGTCAAGCCCCTGCAGACGGCAATGCTGGGTCTCCTGGCCAGGCGGAAACGAGGATACGATAGGCACATGCACAGTTAATAGCTTCGACCCTTACACTGAGCAGCATGCGGGGCTGGAGTTGCTCCTTTCACAGCGAAGATGGCTAATGTCCTAAGGCCTTAGTGCTGAGTTCCCTTATGTGAAGCCAGGATCAGTCCCATCTGGGAGACCAGTCTGGCTCAAGACTCCACTCAGCGCCTGGCTGCTGTCCCACGGCGCGGTGTGCCGGCCACGCAGGCAGGCTGAGAGCGGCTCTGGCTCGGTGGGGCCATGCTGGACGCCAGTGGGGGAGGCATTAGCCGGTGTGCAACATGCTTGCTTCTGAGTGCAAGGTGAAGGTTTCACGTGTGAGGCTGAACATCTGGTTAGGCCTGATGACTCTGGGGATAGTCCTACTCCTGGGCAGCCTTTTGACCTCAGAAGCCCAGTTAGTCACTCTCTGTTAGTGGATACCTGACTTGCAATTTGGGGAACTAGGTGTTTTTGGCGGCAAGCTCATGCTTTTGTTAATCTCCTGTTCTCTTGGACTGTGATAGCAGGCAGGGTCTGCAGGCTTACCCCAAACCCATCTATTTATATTCGCCAACTCTGCTTAAAGAGATAAGATGAGACCATGTTCTCATGTCATGGTCACAGAGTGGATTGACACAGGATGGGAATGGGAAATGTAGTCTGTCTTCAACCCTCCAGAGGAAAATGTATGTGAAATTGACTAAATAAATTGTGAGTCAATGTTCTCTTGGTCTAGGGTATATAAAAATTGCAAATCTGTCTTTGGATAGAAAATGAAAATCTATAGCAAATATATTAATGTCCCTCAACTTGTAGCTGAAAGCATTGTTAGCTTCATGTGCTGTGTGTCTAATATATTAACGTCCCTCAATTAATGTAATTAATGTCCCTCAACTTGGGTAACCATTTTAATTATTGTATATCCATAATTAGGTATTTTGCCAGTTTCAATATGTACTTTAATAATAATACTGCATCACATAAGCTCCAGTTATAGCCCTCGAAACACAAATATTCCATGTACACCAAAGGCCAGCAGCAAACTCTGTACTCTTCTTCTCTCCTGGAGATTATTTCCCCTTCTTGGTCATTGTGTCTGGCTGCCTTGTTGCAGGAACAGGGGAGTAGCCCGGCACATATCTCTTCCTTGATACTTTTCTTTCTTTCAAGCGGGATCCCTGCCTTTCTTCTGTTTTCCCCCCACTTCTGGTTCCGCTATCATCTTCTTTAAATGTGCACCTCTAAATGTGCAACCTTCACCATGAACCTTTTCCTCCCCTTTTTGCAATTTTTTTGGTTGCCGCAAAAACTTCTACCATCTTTGTTCCGATTGTGAGCTGTAAATGATTCCCACCATGGTTGAGCAGTGTAAGAATGCCTGTGATTATAACAAGAAGGAAAACCATACATTCGGATTCAATTTTAAATGATATAAAACCACTGTCATCAATTTCAAAAACCACTGTCATCATTTCAGAAACCCCTAAGGGATCTAGAAATCCTCCTTGGTATATTTTCTCTTGATAAAGCCTGATTTTCCTTAAGCTCCAATATCTTTGGGGAATAACTGCTGAAATTTATGCCGATAGTCACTCTTTTCTCCGCCGGGTATGATAAGGGAGGAAGAGAGGGTGTCGGAGGTATATATAAGAAATAGGAGGGGAAAGGCCAGAAAACCTTACATATTGACAGTACCACAATTTCCTACATCTACCAAAATAATATTGTCACTATATTTCTGGGCACAGACTATATGGCAATATCAGAGAAGTATCTGTAATAATGTTGACTTTAGAAATATAATAATAATACCTGTTCATTGTAGCAAATGTGGCTTATG